ATCCAGAATGGGGGTGCAGGGGCTGCGCATCCCCCAACCCCCTTTGGTCCTGAAAGTTGTTAAATGAACATTGAAACTCGGGGAAATTGAAATGCGGCACCACAAATGTATGCACCCTCCCACCTTCAACACACACAGTATGCAAAAACAACCCCCATTTCTAAACAAAATGACAGCACACATCCGCACACACTGTGACACACACCCCCATCGTATCCCAATTCGTATCCCAATTGTAGATCGATGGTCATGATGTTGATCACTGGGTTGTCTAGTCCAGACTCGATTATTTACAGACCGCCGTCATATAGATGGAATAATCGGCGTTAAACAACAAGCAAACAAAAAAACCCTTTGATTCATCCGTAAACGCTGTGTAATGCCAAATGCTGCGCAGACCGTTCCTGTTGTTGGTATGTTGTCTATGGTAAGCTGTTGGTGTCTACCCAGAGGCGTAGGAACGGTTTTCAGAGTGGGGGGCTAAGCCCCCAAAAACGTACAAAACAAAAACTCTCCCTGTTCCTACGCCCCTGCTACCCCTTCCCAGGACGCCTTGTGTTCAGGCGGGTACCACGAGGACGGTTTGTAAGGGAAGACGTTGAAATTCGCCGTCCTGTACGGAATCCTCTGCTGATAGCTGATTTGAATCGATCGTGTAATCTCTAACCCGTTTGACAGCACCTGTCTCAGCATTGAAAAAAACAATCGCTTTTCGGTTTGACAAACAATCGGGAAAATTGGGATACTGAGTCACTTGTAGAACCAACAATTCGCCATTTTGTCTGTTCTGTGAGATGCTGTATTGATGGTATTTCAAAACGTGGGATCGGATCAGTTGCATCAGTGATTGCGAGTTCCGCCACGCCGAAGACCCGGGTTCGATTCCCCAAATGGGCACAATGTTTGAAGCTCATTTCTGGTGTCCCCCGCCGTGATAGTGCTGGAATATTGCTAAAAGAGGCGTAAAACTAAACACACTCACTCACTCTGTACATTCAAATCACCAGGGCCTTATGTTATAAAGCTGCTGCACAATTAACCTTTGGAAGCTCAAGGTGTCGAAAAATCTCATTTTAAAAACCCCCATACATAACTGGTTCCTAGATTAATTCACAATGCTGGTCAAACTTCAAAATCGTGACAGTTCATTCGTTCGTTCGTTCATTCATTCATCCATTCGTTCGTTCGTTCATTCATTCATGTGGCATGATCTCGCCTGATAGGTCAATGTGGAGAAATGTGCATTCCCAGTACTTTGTTCACGGTTCATTATTCCCTGTTAATTATCAGCAGTCTCAGATTGCAGCCTACAGGCTTTCATGTGAGCAATTACCGTTAAAAGGCAGAGACATTTGTGTCCACCAGCGTGGTGTCAGGTTTACAAAAGAGAAAATTCCGCGAACGATTTTCTTTGTTTCCTTCAAGGTTCGAACTCTTTATTTTATAAAGCCTCACACGAAATGACGTTTGTCATTTATCATAAAATGCTCTCAGAAAATAAGGCCATGTTGTATCGGTCATGTTGTTTCATCATCATCATCATCATCATCATCACCATCATCCTTAGCATTTCATTTTTAAGAGGTTAGATTTTTTTTAAATAACTGTTTGATGATGCTTGGTCTTAATTTATAAAAAGTATTGGAAAAAGTAGCATTTTAGAACTGCATATTGATTGGGTGGGTGTGGGAGTGTTGTGTTTGGTGAGTGGACATCAGATATCTATAAATCTATCTATCTATACATTGATATAGTATATACTGGGTTGTGTTTTGGTTGTATATCAAATATATAATTCGTTAAATCTAGTAGTACAGTAGTACGCTTTACGTGTTAAACCGTGTGGCTGTATTTAGACGAGGAAGTTAATACAACACGGAACAAAGAGATCGTATTCTACATCCTCGACCGACCTGTGTATAATGGACCGTTCACATATTATATTACATGCTCCACGCGCAGATAAAGCATACCTGTCGGTCATGAAATATTGTAAGTGATACTTGAAGCATTGTATATGGTGTAAACCATAGCTTACCGTAAATCCTACGTTTAGGCATAGCTTATTCTAGTCGCTTATGGGGCGGTGGGGTAGCCTAATGGTTAAAGCGTTTCTAAGACCCGGGTTCGAATCCCCACATGGGCACAATGTGTGAAGCCCATTTCTGGTGTCCCCCGCCGTGATGTTGCTGGAATATTGCTAAAAGCGGCGTAAAACCAAACTCAGTCGCTTATGGGGTAGCCTAGTGGTTAAAGCGTTCGCTCGTTACGCCGGGGACCCGGGTTCAATTCCCCACATGGGTCCAGTGGCAGTGTGTGAAGCCCATTCTGGTGATATTGCTGGAATATTGCTAAAAGCGGCGTAAAACTTAACTCACTCACTCTAGTCGCTTATGTGGGAAGTTTAATTAATTGTGTGGTTTATACCAAACTGACATTTCCATCTCGGCCACATTTTGTTTTATTCAAAATGCGTATGACAAACTACGGTTATAACGAACTAAAACGAATGCCCCCATTGAGTTCGTTATAACAGTAGTTGACGTACCGTATACAATGTACACCTGTTTGGGTCCTCCTGGTAACAATATGACAGTCCCCATGACGCAGTCTACAAGAAGCGACTATATAGGTGATCAGTCTCGGTGACTTATTGTTTGCACGTCATCGTATTCCAGTTAGACGGGTCGATGCTCATGATGTTAATCATTGGTTTCGGTTATTCACCGACCGCTGCCACATGGCTAAATATTGAGTGGCTCTAAACAACAAACAACGCAAAGGTATACCACGTATACATCATGTAGGGACAGAACCAGTCTGCCTCGCAGACCCTTTCCGAGCAGCCAGGGCGGTGGGGTAGCTTAGTGGTTTAAGCGTCCTCTCGTCACACGGATGTCTCGGGTTCGATTCTCCACATGGGCACAATGCGTGTTAGTCCATCACTGGTGTCCCGCGCCGGGTTATTGCTAGAACAATGCTAAAAGCGGCGTAAAACCCAACTCACTCACTCCAAGCATCCTTATCTATAATGCAAAAGCCCTAAGTCTAGAATTCCATAAGGGCTCAGTTTAAATGTTGCAGTTTGTTTCTATAAAAAAGTATATATTATATATTTTCAGAGACTAAGCGTCAGTCCTGGTGAGGACATGCTATTGTCATTTCGTCGATTATTAATTTTATCGAGGATTTACGGTAAATATAACACTTTTTCATTTGTTCAGGCCTGCTCTGAAATATCTGCGTCTGTTTGGTAGTTAGGCTATTTTATAAAATGTAATGGGATTAAATTGTAAGCTGTAATTGTACCTTATTTCTACGCCTTTCTAGTCTTAATAGAGGAAACTCCCAATGAAATCACAAAATGAAAATAGCTTCGGCTCGGAAACAACAACGTTCCTATTAGAGTTACCGTATGTCCTCTATTTATAACTGATATATTATTCCTTTCGCGTCAATGGCCAGAGGGGATGCTTTGTTTCAGTAACCGTTATGTTATTGATCTTAACTTAATTAAAATTGTTTCTGTTCTCAATAGATACCTGGTTCCTGTTCTAAAATCTGAATTACTCTAGACCCAGTCCTTTGGAGAAACGGACATTAATGGAGGCAAGTTGTGTCACATATGCTTGGGATATATTATTCATATTTCCTCCATAAGTGTACATGCGTACGTACTGACTTTTACATATGTGAACATCACAGAATGTGGCGGTGGTTGTAGATTTGCACTGAAAACAGTTAGGTTTTTCGCCGCTTTTAGCAATATTCCAGCAATATCACGGCGGGGGACACCAGAAATGAGCTTCAAACATTGTGCCCATGTGGGAAATCGAACCCGGGTCTTCGGCGTGGCGAGCGAACGCTTTAACCACTACTCAACCCCACCGCCCCTGAAAACAAAAATTACACGAGAGATGCCTGCATCCAAGGTTCACGATTCGAACCCCTGAATGAGCATGCACGGTCATAAGAAGGCATCGCAACACTGCATGTGAGTTATTGGGCCTTACATTACGATTGGGACACCAGCCTGCTGTCTTACACCATGTGTGTAGAGTTTATGCATTTCCCCAAACCATGCCCTTCGAAATGATAAAATACCAAGTCTAGACAGCTTTATTCCACCCAAATTCACAATCAGGGGAGAAAAGAGAGATGGAAAAATATATTGTGTAATAAAAATAAATCCCCGACTCCAAGTCTACAATCAGCCATATTAGCTTGTATTGGCGAGCTACGAATAACCCTCCCTTTTTCTGCTTGTAACCATATCGCTTTCAAAATTTAGAAAAACTTTACAATAAGCAAATATCCAAATAAGGCTGAAAACGACGTTCTTTGGAGACGTTTGAGTGGGATGAGATGACTGGTAACCTTCTAGTGGCTCACAGGCAGCTTGGGTTGTATACTCATTAGGTAGCCTACTGTGAAAATCTCTAGTACAGTGATCCATTGAACGGTGTTAACATACCGTTGCGCTTCTTACATTGCGTACGGAGCTAGGAAGCATCCATGTGATTGTAGGGGGGTGGGGGCAATGGAATGGAACAATCTATTTTTCAGCTGTATGAAACTGTTTATTTAATGGGGACCATCAATCAATCAATTTATTTTCACTATGAGCATACATATTTTGACGTCAGCGCATTTTCTATAAAACTAATTGTTATTTTCTTCACCACTGTCATCTAAATATTCATTCATATTTCTGGAAAAGCGTTTTAATAATCGCATTGCCACCCCCACTCTCGGGTTGTCTGCCTGTCAAACAAAATTCCAGTTGTGCTTGGTGATTATAAATGCGACATTAACCTCATTTTCATAATAACGACAGTTCGTCATGAAACAGGAAAACTAGAGATGTATTCGCCAAACAGTCTATGTTGACTGCCGATAACATTAAGACAGCCCATTGGAGTACTGTTACACATTAACGGAGGGGTTCAATACACTAATTGTAACAGCGCGTCTTCTAACCGAGGGGAGCCAATTGGGAATCAGAACAGCTCAAACATAACCACTGCATTGAACGGAGTAATCCAGTCGGCTTTGCGTTCGGCTGGGTAACGGATCGAGTATTGTCATGACTGGTGGAGCTTTTTGTTCTTGAAGGAAGTATCTAGGATAGATACAATGCTGTATTCAATCCGCGTGCTGTCAAAAAGAGCATTTGGCGCTAAGACTCGGTGTTGGCGCTTCGGGAATAACCGTACGGCGAGCACCTTGGCTTGAGTCGATCGATCTGAGAACAGGGGGTGGGGCATAGCCTTCAGGTGCGTCCAGGGTGTTGGTTCGAAGCGACACTCGGCTTCAAACAGCGTTCTTTGCAAGACTGTACAGCTTGTATGAAGCGGTGGATCTAGCAGATTTCAAGTTAGTGACAACACCGATCGTGTTTCAAAATGGCGAGCGGCGAGGATAGAAACACTGAAAATAGTGTAGTTCGCTACAACACGACCAATGACCCCGAAGCTGTGCACGTGGATCTTCAATCGCCGGCCAAAAACCGATACAAGGGCACCCCACTGAGCCCTAACAAGAAAGCCCCCATCGTCCTGTTCGAGAGAGCGTCAGGGAGCTGGTGGAACCCGACTTTTGATTCCAAGATTCTGGAAGATCAACTCTGGAGTTGCTACTTGCCACAAACTCGGAGACGGTTCCAATATGCTCTCTTCTACATTGTGACAGCATGTTTAGCATGGCTTATATTCTTCGGTCTGACCAAGGAACTAAACTGGATGTATTTCCTTGGCGGCACAGGATGTTTGCTTGCTGTGACTCTGCTCATCTTTGGATTTACAAAGATCCCATTATATGAACGTTTTTATTTGCCAACTTCTATCGTCTTTGTGCTTTTCCTTATGGCCTTGATCCTATGTCCCTTTGCCTTTAAGTCCTCCTCAGATCTCTCGACAATTGGGTCTTTTTTCAGGATCTGTTGAAATTCTTCTAATGATATACACCTTCATACCCATGCCACTGTTCGCTGCAGTGTTGATAGGCATTGTCTATTCCATTTTGTACGAAATTTTGGTAGCACTTACGATAACAGGAATGCAAGAGGCTACATTCATTATCGGGAAAATTTTGCTCCATTGTTGTATCCATTTGATAGGGATCCATATTTTCATAATGTCCCAAGTTCGTCGTCATAGTACCTTCTGGAAGATCGGACAATCAGTGATGTCGCGTCGAGATCTGCAGGTTGAGAAACAGCTGAAGGAAAAGATGATCCATTCTCTTATGCCGCCGTCAGTTGCAGATGCTGTGATGAAGTCACGTGACAAAGATGAAGACGAACCAGAAGACCAAAAGAGCAGGAAAAAGAACAAGAACCGAAAACAGGAACCTGACAAAGGAAAAATTCGATTCAGACCATTCAACATGAACCAGCTAGATAATGTAAGTATCCTGTTTGCAGACATTGTCGGCTTTACGAAAATGAGTTCCAATAAGACTGCCGAGCATTTGGTGAGTCTCCTGAATGACCTGTTTGGAAGATTTGACAAGCTGTGTACTAACTGTGGATGTGAGAAGATCAGTACCCTTGGTGACTGTTACTACTGTGTGTCTGGATGTCCCGAGCCTCGCCCAGACCATGCCATATGCTGCGTGGAGATGGGCCTGGGAATGATTGAACTGATCAAGAAGTTTGATGAGGACAACCAAGAGGAGGTTAACATGAGAGTGGGAGTTCACACCGGAACCGTACTCTGTGGAATTGTCGGAACGAGAAGGTTCAAATTCGATGTGTGGTCCAATGATGTCACTCTTGCCAATACAATGGAGTCATCTGGCCGTCCAGGAACTGTTCATATATCAGAGATGACCTACAAGTTCTTGAAGGATCTGTATGAGGTGGAAGAAGGAGAGGTAGTTGAAGGTAAGACTGATTTTTCTTCACAACACAAAGTCTGTGACAGCTCTACCCCCATCTAATTCTGGAGTCGATTGTGATTTTCATATTGCATGGTATCAATCGTATGCCATTAAATGAGCATCAGCTGACCATGACAGCTGAAGGGGAATTGTCCACTATTTGGAGGGTGACCAGAAAGGATGGCAAAGTTTTGGCTGTCATCTCTTGACTACAGTGTTCTAAATTAGTATGAAAGTCAAAGGGACCTTGTCATAACTTTCCAATTGATTTGTAAAGTAAAGAATTAAGCGGTCCTGGATTCAGATACAATAACAGCAATTCCCAGAAACCCCAAAGCCAAAGTTACTTTTAATTACTGGTAAAGACATGTTTGTCGTGGCTCTGTGATTTGGCTGCGCCTGTTGTCATGCTCTGTTGGTCATGCTTTTAATCACTGGTTTGTTCGTCTGAGGCCCTCGTTCTTGCAGATATGTAATATATTGATCCATGGAAAATGCTGACTGTGTGCTGTACACTGTTTATTCACTCACTCATTGTACATAAGAGTGGGATCAAGTTTCTCCCCGTCATCTCCTGGGTGACAGGCAGCCATAATATGCCTGTAATTTTGCTGACTAAGCAAGAAACACCATTGTTATTCCCAGTCACAACCATGGTATCATCTTTATTAGGCCTTCAGGGCACCAGTCAGGATAGATACCAATATTATTGCTTGTGACAAACAATACCCAAATGTAATCAGAGTTTCATTGACATATGCTATGTTACTATAAAATAAATGCCATACATTTGGTGATGTCAATCAACTCTACCTTAAAATTTGTTTAATGAGAGCCACAAGATTCTTTTAGTCTCATATATCGTCACAATAAATGGTATATGGCAAGTCCTAATCATTATGGAAGCTATTTCTCTAGCATTACTGGCTAATTCGTATTACAGCTTCAGCTGGCTTAGCCTCATATAAAGCCTTTTCTATTGCCCTTTTGGATAAGAGTTAATGAAATAGCTTCTCATTCTGATTCACGTACATATGGAGTTTTGAAAATAGGAGAACCTTTCAGAAAACATATCTGAAGTAAATGGTTTTGTTTTATTTTAATTTCTGTTATATTTTTGTAAAAATACTCTGAGATCACAGGTACATTGTACTTGTTTAACATAACCATTATCAGTGATGAGATACATTTTATAGTGTGCGCAAGCTTAACATACCGTCTGGAACATGCCTTCTGGGTATGTTGATATGGATTCATTGCGAGTGTTAAACTGACAGTTTTAATTCAGTTTTAATTCTGTATCAGTTTAAAAAAGTATATGTTTGAATGTTTTTGAGTACTAAGGTTTGACACTATGATTGCATAATGAGCAAGGATTGGGTGAAAATGAACCCCAAGTTAAACACAAACTGGTTCATAGCTACAGCTTCTTGTCTCAGGGATCACTGAGTATTGTGATTTGTGGCGTATCTAAAGTGCGATGTATATCTAAACAGGAGCAGAGTAGCATGGAGTCAGTCGCACAGTCCCTGAACCATATTATTTTCCCTACAACCTAGCTCTCCCCGCAATGCTAAAGCCTTAAATGAAGCAAGTCTAGATTTCCCCAGGTTCTAATCTCTGGTCTCCCTGGGGCTCCTTTTCAGTTTAAATGAGTTTATTTGTTTCAGTCAGAATTATATATATTCAGAGCCTAAGCGTTAGTTTAAGTAGCATGGTTCTTTTATGTTAATAATGAGTGTACCAGCAAATTGGATTCATGAATTGAAATCCTGGAGAGTTCAGTTTGCCTCTCTGTAAATTCAGATTTGTATTCATTTCAATCCAACAACACATGTTCAGAGATGTTAGTTTCCACCATGGTGATATATTAGCATGTCTAGACGTATATTGAATATGGATACTTGATTCTTCTTTGAGCAGTGTACCACTTCAAATTGCACATTTATGCATGATATTTACACATGTATATGCTAAAAATGAGTACTGGTTTGATTTGGCAGTATCCAAAAAAAGTTGGACATATATAGAGGATATTATATGAGTGCCCATGTCATACTATGTTTACGACACGAGTGAACTAAATGTTGGTATTTCCTGAGCGATAGCGAGGAATATACCAATAATTTGGGCACGAGTGTTGTTAACATAGTATGATATGGGCACGAATATAAATATCTTTTTATTACTGAAGTTGTCAAATTGAGGTAAATAAACCCAAATCTATTTTCAAACACAGGCTGGGTACCCGCCGTCATTGCATGTAGAATGCAACGTCATTAAAGAAACGTGACGTCATAGCATTGTTCATGACGTCATGTTACCATGACAAAGTGATAATTTGCCTTAAGGCAATGTATGAAAAATATGAATCCCGATAATTCCGCCCTCGTATGTAATAAATATATGTATGGTACAGGACTATTCGAAATCTGACGAGATTCAATCTGTCTCTTGTAAATGTTTTGTCAGATAGACCGTTGTGTGGAAATTTACCAATGGTGTAATGTCAAACGGTTTGTTTATAAATCAGTAAACAGTTGCTGATAGAGGCTGATATTACAGGTACTGTTGCCGGTCGTGGTTTTATACCAACCCAACATGACGTGTGATAGTTTCGGAATGACAAGTGTTGTAATAACACTGTCAAGTTGGTAACCAGTAGCAAGTGTTTCTTGTCCATGGAATAAACAAGTACGGTATATATGTATATATGTACATATTGCTATGGTGGCGCCAGTGATCATTGCAATTTTGACAGTTCTGCAGTCCCAAGTGAACTGTTTGAGAAATTTGGTTTGGGGTACCTTACAAGACATTTGGACAATATTTTGATTAGGGCTGGGACGATTCACCAATACATCATGATACATTTAAGTTTGATACAGCTATCGTGTTGTTGACTGGTGTATCGATACAAAACGATACACCACCTTTTTTCAAAACAGTTAAACATCTTAAACATGTTAAAGTACTTATTTAGAGAAAAATATGCAAATATGATAGAGTTACTTGTTTCTTTTTACAATAGTGTTATTGTTATACACAAATACCTTGAAATAAATCGTTTTAAATCTTAATACTGTGTCATTCTTTCAAGGTGTATGTATCGTGATACGTATCGTATCGTAATCGTAGGGAAAATATCACAATACGTATCGTATTGTTTGATTCCATTTTATTTTTCTTCTAAAAATAGTATATTTCCTCGTTTGTATACAACTCACTGGAGACATTTGTCTGTTCCACAAAAATTGTTACCATTTATCTATATCATGTTGTCATTAAATGCAACAGTGTGCCTAGTTCACTGCCAGTATGTCCTCAGTGTTGTTAGAGCAAGCCTCAGATTTGTTGAGTGACATGTGTCATGTTTAATGCTAATACATCATCTGGTTTGGGGTATAGTAGGTGATGATAAGAATAGTGTTTGTTGTTGAACACAAAAGTCACAGAGTGTTTATCATGTTCCCAAGGTTAAAAGGGACCTGTGAAGAGCCGGATTAGAATTGATTTTCAGCAACCCGTGCCTTTTGTAAGTAGTGACTAATGGAATCTCTCGGTCAGGCTCTCTGATTTGGTTAATGAATGTCATGGTATCCCAGTCTTGTAAATCGATGCTCATTATGTCAATCATTGGATTGTCTGGTCCAGACTCAATTATTTACAAATGACAGTCATACAATTGGAAAATTGCCGAGAAAGGCAATCTAACAAGCTAAAAATGTGTAAGATGCAGGTTTTAGATGAACCAAGGGTCATACAGTAATATTCCTTGTACCAAATTCTTGACAGTGCATATAAAGATCCTCTATCATTGAAATAATTATCACTACAGTAAACCATACCATTCAAATACAGATCTCCATATTTCCTGTATAGACCCTTGAAATATTACCCGTGAAGGTCCGGGTTAGAATGAACCTTCAGTAACCCATGCTTGTCGTAAGGGGCGACTAACGGGATCGGGTGGTCAGGCTCGCTGACTTGGTTGACACTTGCCATCGGTTCCCAATTGCGCAGATCGATGCTCATGCTGTTGATCACTGGATTGTCTGGTCCAGCCTCAATTATTTACAGACTGCCGCCATATAGCTGGAATATTGCTGAGTGTGGCGTAAAACTAAACTCACTCACTCACTCACTTGAAATATTTATCAGTGTAGCTCCACAGGACTCCCAGATAAGGGCCGTATCGGCGTATGTACGGATACAAGATATGCACGATACGGTAGGAAATGATTTAGAAAACGTAGCAGATACGCATCACAGCAATGTACGGTCTTAGAATCATTTACGGTCTATTTATCTGAAAAAAGTACTGTTCTATTGTTTATTGACCTGTTTACACAAGAGTAGCAATGTTGTGGTGCATATATGAAATGAAACAAGATTACTGATACTCCATTAAATTCCATTCAGTACTCTAAATGTACTCCTAAGGTTTTCCAGTACTCCTGAATGATAAATTAAGGAGTACGTACTCCTGATGTTGAAAAATTATCTGGAGCCCTGGCTCTAGTTTTCGTTAGGCAAGATAAAACCCTGTTTGTAAATCATTGAAACACAACAGACTGTCTATGTAACAAATACGACAGAGCTTACAGTTAATTACACTGTAATTAAGACATATTAGTAGAATATATTGTAATTGTATCTATTACTTAGCAGGTTAACTACCTCCTGCAATTATGTCTTGCACTATTCCCAATTCCAAACCAGTATCTGGGGAATCCAAAGGCTTATACATTTCTTTCCATTAAGGAATGTTCTAGTGATTTAGGGAGCCATGGCACATTCTTGGACAGCAGACTAGCATAGAGCAGCTCATCAGTGAGCGATAAGTTGAGAGATCTGCAAGTACAGGGCTCTGACAGCATTAGGTGTCATATTTCTGGTAACAGCTGAGTGCCTCTTTATATCTTAGGTATATTCTTGAAGCTGCTACACTATGTAGGTTGTTTGGGTAATCATGAATATTTACTGAATTTGTATGTGTTCAAT